TCGGTGGACGACACGCAATTCCCATCAATAAAACGATGCTTTTACCAGATGAATATTCAAATGTCGCGGCACCAGTCAAATTATCAATGCGAGGAGCCGTCCAAACCCCCATAATGAATATTGAAAGCACGCCCACCCGGCTCGATACGCCGAAGCTTTATTTTCACTGTTGGTACTATGCGCGTACCAACAATCACTTTATTGTTCGAGCTAACGCTGTTTCATGAATGCCAGTGCATGAGGGTAAACGAAAAAATAACACATAAACTCGCCTAATTTACGCACCGGCATGCCCCACGCGTCGCATTACCGTGAAAAATTACGATCCAAGAAACCCATCGTCGTAAATCCACACCAGGGTCCAATAAAAATTGACCAAGTTCGCTCGGTATTCATAACTCCAGCGCGATTTCACCCATAACTCTCTTCCCCCTCTCCCTCTGACGCTCGAGTACCCGAGAAAACTAATCACTCCCAGGCAACCGTCTGCTAAAAAAAAATTCTCCAAGGCGCGAAACACCTCTTTCCTCCCCATCGCCTTCGCACAATATACACTGCCACCCCCATAAATACAATTTATCGATCTTACCTCTGTCCCTGACACCCCGGCGCACACAGCCCTGTTCATTTCTTTTCTTTCATCTCAACTGTTTCCTTCGGTAAACACAACGCTCCTCGCATAAAAATGTACCTCGAGGCACCAGAGACGCTGTTTATGTTATTTCACGAGAGTTTGTAGCTCTCTTGGTTTTTGGCTTCATCTCTAGCCTGAACTGCGATGGTATATCAAAGCTAACGTTGCCTCCGACCCTCTTGTACACGCACTCGAGCGATTGGTCTACTGATAACTCTTGTCCGTGTATGCGTTCGTAGCTGTGATTAGTTGGTTTTTTTCTTATCATGCCGAAACTTGGCTTTGATTGGGCTGGGGTTGATTACTCGTCGAACGAGTAAACAACCTATACACCAACCATTTGCCAGATGGGATCGCCCATACGTATTCGTAAGTAAAAACCCAAATGAACGGTTGGGTAAAAAGGGGCAGGGCGAGGGGATGCGTATATATATATCTGTCTGGAAGATAGTCGAGAAATGCAGCTACGGTAGACGCTTCGCGAGAGAGTGCACGCAGGAACGGCTGATAAATTTCCCGAGAGCGTCGTCGTCGTGGCGTCAGCAGTATCATGTTGGCGCTCGGGCCCGCATATCTTGCCCCCCGCTAATTGTCTCCATCAATCACGTGGAAACTTTTCCCGGGACCATCGACCCTTTAGCGTGTGACGTGGATCCTTGTATATATACATGTACATATAAATGCGGTGCCGGCGTGTGCATGTTGCACGTATCGCGTGTCTGACTGTACTTTGGCCTATACTACTGGCTGTGCGACTCTTGCGGATTCCAAGAATCGGAGTGAACCTTTTGGATAATTTACCCAAGGAAAGTATGGGTGTTGTTATGTTTTCTGTTTTCATTGCAATTCTTGGAATGAAAATACTTAAATGACACACGAGTGTTGCGTAATGAATGTTCATTAATCTTGCCTCGTGAATTTTATTTCTTCCTAGCTACAAGCACGGACACGCAAACAAATTTTTTTCATCATCATAGGTAAGTATCATAAACGTAAAAAACATTTATTTTCTGCAGAGCATAAAAACTTTTTTTTATAATTTATTACAAAAAGAAAAAAAAAGAAAAAGGAATCTCAGATATTGCTTTCTCCATGTAAAGTTATGAATCTTTTGAATGGCACACAAAATTCCGTACTTTGAGAATTCCACGATCCCTCAGCTCTCGAGATTTGTAGTTTTTGCCACATTCGCAGCCATGAAAATTCAACAAAACATTTTTTTAATGCGAAGAAGAAACGCGCAAAAAGAGCGAGCGATGAAAAGAGATTGCTCATGCAGCGTTTTGAGGCACCTGCTGGCTTTTGTTTTTTTTTTTTTTTTTTTTTTTAATGCCTACTTGTATAAAGAAAACATGGTTTAATCGGTCAAGCAGTCTGTTAAGTTCTACATATTTAAAATAAAGCTACTAGAGAAAAAATATTAACTACAAATTGATTTTTTTTATCTCAAATAAATAGAAACTGTCAGTGATGGTAATATAAATAATAATAATTGAAATGCGCGTATCACCTCTACTCAGTGATATATTTTTCAACAGAAACGACTGCAGCAGTAAATAAATAATATACTTATTATGCCAACGAGGAGTTTGTTATGTACACTTGAGAGTTATAACTACGAACCCTCATAGCTATGGTACTTCCCCCGATAAAAAAAAAAGAAAAGAAAACAAAGCCCACATACACACGCCCCATTAATTGAAATAATCCACCATCTCAAACTTTCAATTGTTCGTTTTTCGTTGAGCGCACTAGCAGCACTCGCTCAGAACGACAAGGCAAACGCAGTGTACATACACATAACGTAGCCGTCGAACCGCTCGAGCCACTGTAAAGCTCTTAAATTTCAGATCGCGGGCACTTATCGCATCTGTTTACCCTTTCGCTTAAACACATCGCACACCATTAAATTTCACTCGCGGCTTCATAACTGCGTTTCCACCTCAAAAGTATACTTTAATTCTCCATCTGCACGTGAGCACGCGTACTTGCCAAATCTCAACACGCGGGCACAGAGCGAAATATACCCACAAATGGTGGATTTATTCGGCTCGTCTGGTCATTCTCTTCCCTCATTTTGGGCTTCTACGCTTTCTCGATCACGCTATCTACAGAAAATGACTTTGCCATCGTTATCTCCTCTATTCCAGAATCTCACGTTCATCATCCATGTTTATGTTATGTCCCTTGCCTTCTCTAAAGCGCACTAAAACCCTGGGGATTAAAAAAAAGTCCCTGTACGCCTCTTTTGAGAATTAGTTCACCAAACTAAAATAAAAAAAGAAGAAGAGACAAAGCAAATGCAATTCCCTTGTTTTTAAAAGCACCTCCGCGAAACACTCGGGTGTCCCAAATACACTCTCAAATGTATACATTTACACTCTCGAACAATTGTCCTCTATTGCAGTAGCTTCGCGCGATCGTAGGAAATCCGCTCCGATAAAAAAAATAAAAAAAAAAAAAGGGGGAAACCGCTCGCGAAAACGGAGAAACAAGAAAAATCGCACGGATGGAGCATTTTAAGGGATGGTGGGGGGGGGGGGAGGAAGTCAGTTTCGCGCTACAGCAGCAGCTTAACGACCGTCGAATCTTAACGAAGCCAGCGCCGATCTCCCGTTGTTCTCCCTTCCACCTGCGGTTCTCCCAGAGCTTGCTCTCTCTGTTTACTCTTTTTCCTCGGGGCTCGATACTTCTGCTGATAGCCTCGTTTACTCGAAGGAGCCGGAAAGTAGGTTGTTTTTCGAGACCACCGGCAGTAAACAGCAACGCTGGTGCAAAAAGATATCCGCCTTTCAAAGAGTGAGAGAGAGAGAGAGAAGTAACATTCAAATGGACCTCGGGGAGTGCACCACCGCCTTTTTTACAGCCCCCCCCACCCCTTGCTGCTTCTACGATTATGCGGTGCGATTTAGGTCCCGCTAAGGTCTGTCTGGTAATTTTTGCTTCCACTTCCTCGCGCGTATACACTTGGGCGAGAATTCCAGCTGAATTGAGCTTGGAGAATTTGACTCCGATTCCGTTTAATTTTATACGGTGATACTGAGAAAGGAAAAGTACCCCACCCTCTTTCAACCACTACTTTTTCTTCCTCCCGTTTTCATCAGAGTTTCATCGGAATTTCTGATACTCAATCTATTGGCTAAAATTACCAGAGCAAACATTTATCTCAAGTGTGGGGTTTATTAATTTTTCACCGATTCAACGTTCACCCATTTCCACGAGAAAAAATGATTTCGAGTATTCAGCAAGAAAAAATAATATTCAGCCATTGGTACTTTTTGGATACATACTGTCATTTCCAATTAATCTATTCGTATCGATCCTTTTCGTCACACCTGCAATCAGAGTGTTTCCAAGTCACTAACATCACACTTTTTCAATAAAGTTGTTGCTCGAGTTTGAGTAACTTTTCGAGAGTTAATCTATCCTACTTCGCTTTCCTTTGACTAATTAAAACCCTCCATATAACCGACCTTATATAAAAAAACACATAGATCGAAAGAAAAATTATATGAACCGCACGTGCTCCCTCGAGTTGTCGATATATATAAATGGAATTGAGAATGTCAGAAAACAGTGGGGAAGGGAAGATCGAGGGCCTCGGGTGTACGACAGCAGTACTGGGGAAAATAAAGAAAAAGAAGAGCGAAGCTATGGGAGACACGTCGATGTGTATAAAAAACAGCTGATAGATAGATAGGATGGATGGATAGATATACACAAGAATAGGAGCAAAATACCACACGAGTGCTCGAACGAGTCGTATGAAAGCGATGCGAGAGGGAGGATGAAAGGGGAAGAAAAAGAAGGCGAGAATCGAGTGTTATCGCTTCGTTCTGCTGCTTCGTGTATCGGAAATAGCAATGGAGCGCCGGCCGATCGAGTGCCGTATACACTCGTGTATATCAGGGGGCGCATATCCTGTAAATCGAGATCCGGCGCGATTACACCTTCTTCTTCGGGATAGGAAACAAATATCCCTCCCTCACCCTCTATACCCCACCCTCAAGAGTTTGTACGTTGGATGTGTGTGTGTACGGCTTCGAGTGCTCCCGCCTGAAATTTAGGACGCTATCTACCGGCCGTAGATACGCCTACGATGGCCCCGTAATTGCCGCGAGATCGAAATGCTACACGATGGATACTCTCGGATTGGCTGTGGATAAATGTTGGTACGGCTTTTCTCCCTTTGTGTACATGTACACTATGTTTTACTAAAATACTGATGGGAGTAACATTTATTGATTCTCTCTCGTTACGAATAATTTCATGAAAAGAAGAAGTTGTGATGAGAGAATAGAAGAAAAACAGAAATGGAACGTGTGTGTTGGAAAAAATAAAAATAAAAACAAAGCAAAAATAGAAGATGAGAGCAATGGTATACAGGAAGCCATTCTCAGAAGTAATATAAGGAATAGGAGAAATTCCAAAGTTCGCGCGGGAACGCCGTAATGACCGAATAGTCGAGCAAAATAAGCAAAGTTCCGGGATGCATAGTACCGAGGGAAGTTTCTAAAGAGAGCCGTAACGCGCGCGTGAAGAAAAGAGGGAGAGCTTTCAAGCAAGTGGTGACGAAAGCTTTGTTGTTTTGCAGACGCACTTCTACAAGTGGATCAGGGACCACAGGACCCACCACAAGGTGCGTATGGCTCTCTTTTTGTGCAAGTAAGAATAAACCTCGTAAAAGATCATGCCTTACATGTATATAATCGAAAAATACTACAGTTCACAGATAGCGCAGCCGATCCACACGACGCCAACCGCGGCTTCTTCTTCTCCCACGTCGGCTGGCTGATGATGAAACGTCATCCTGCTGTCATAAAGTACGGTAAAAAGATCGACATGAGTGACATCGAGGCTGATCCTGTTATATGCTTCTTCGACAAGTGAGTAGATATTAATTTTCATTTTAATTTAACTTACACTATGTCTGACTATTTTTGGGTTTTACTACGTGCATTCTCAGAAATAATTTTTGTATATTTTTTGTTATATTTCTAATTATGATTATTACAAATAAATGAGTCATACTGGATGTACATTTTCCTTTGAATTTAAATGGCAATCACTGTGGATGACTATTTACGGGTTTTACTACTTTCAAACAAAAAAATAATTTTTGTAATTTTCTGTGATGGTCCTACTTATGATTGTAAGATACGTGTCGTGTTGCATGTACGTTTTCCTTTGCATTTAAATGACATTCGCTATGTCTGACTACTCACGGGTTTTACTACTTGTAAGCAGGAAAATAATTTTTTTCCTTTTTTTGTGATACTTCTACCTATGATTGTAACAGACAAGTAGATTTTGTTGGATGTACATTTCATTTTGAATTTAAATAACAATCACCATGTCTGACTGTTTTCGGATTTTACTACTTGTAATATGAATAAAATTTTTGTAAGCTTTCTATAATATTCGTACTTATGATTGTAACAGATGAGTCATGTAAGATGTACGTTTATCTTTGAATTTCAATT